TAATTGGCCGCCATGTTTTACGTCAAGCAGCAAGTGCTTTCTGTGTCCTGGAGATCTTGGTCACTACATTTTGAAGCTAAAAACTATTCTAGAGTCAAGAATAATGCCAAGAGAGCCAACCTAGGAAGTATAGTGCAATACTCTTGTTGTATGAGCCTGTTTTCCTCTTTGGGCTGTGACAGAGAGTCAAGAACTGATCGTTCTGGCTCTCCCAGCCTTCTTAAGTCTTCAAAATATCTTGCTATAGTAAAGAACAGTTGATATGAAGCCTCTCCTAGTCCTGAGTTCAGCACAACAAAAGTTTTATTGGCAAAACAGCTCTACTTTGCATATCAGCCATTGGAACTCTGCATAACTTTGACGTAAAACATGGCGGACAAAAATTTGTTCAATATTATTTCTTTGTATATACGGTATCACAAACTAATTCTCGCCTAAAGGGGTCTATAGTGTTAGTACATAACTGAGAACAACCTGATGATCCTTCACTGCACTCATCAATAGGTCTTCTAAAGCCTCTTTCGATACAGCAACAAAACGCTCGCTGTCCTCACCACCTTCCTTCTTTCTTCTTAAACGCTCGCTGTCTTCTCCACCTTCCTTCTCTTTAATGAAAGCGACACTTTCCTCTTTTTTGGGCGGATTGCAGTCGCTCCTGTAAGCCATCTCTAAGCTCTCCTTACTTGTCAGGTACTTGCCACGTGTAAAATTGCTTTGCGCATGCGCAGTGCGTGTACCGTATAGCTTCAATTGGATATGTATTGATACAGTCCTGTGCACATCCTCCATTATTAGTATCACACTCATTGATATCTACGGTATTAGTTATGAATCTATATAATAGTCCTAAATGTACCTGAACAACTATGTTGACCTGAAGTTAAACTGTAGCCATAAAAACAACTACAACTAGCTCTATAGCCATTGAAACTGTTAGTGCAAATTTGTGCACACCCACCATTATTATTTGAGCATGCATAATCACCAGTGCCTACAAAATCAGGACTGAATAGTGTACCTATAAATCTATGGACTTACTGTTGACAATTTCATAAATATTTATTCCAGCACTATATGCATAGCCATGAAAATTGGCAAAGCCATACACCAAGGTACTGAATCCTTCTTTCATTATAATAGTATGAGAAGTTGCATTGTTCCCATTGGGCTACTGAATTGAATTTGCACTCCATATCCAACAATGTTTTTCCTACTATCATAAATGTTGCTCCATAACAACGAAACCTGTTGGCCATCAATTGTTACTGGTCCTTTTTTAGTAGTGACAATATTAACATAGTCATTAGATATTGTTTCAAATGAAGGAATGACTACTGTTATATTCTTCTGGTACTGATGTACTGGAGCAACAAGCGAGATAACTGGGTCACCACCATTAGTATAGCCAGCAAAATAACTTGGCCCTAATTGCATCACTAATACAGGCTCGTTAGATTAAATTGAACAGTAGAAGTTTATGCCGCCATTTAGCGTTGCCACATGTCCAGCTTGTGCTAAGTAAGCACTATTGGCAAAAACAAAAAGACTTTCACTAGCAATGCTACCATGTTGCTAATGGTACAGAGACTTTGTGCCAATTTTTTTGAAATTATTAAAAACCCAATTTTGATTGGAATCAGCTCAAACTTCCTACACAACATAAAGGCATGCATAAGTATCAGGAAACAATATGAAGAAGGAAAGTTATAACTTTTTCTATTTTGCAAAATTTGGCTGAAGACCTTGTATAGTACAGGGACTTTGGCACAACTTTAAAAATTCATAAAAATTCAATTTTGATTGAAATAAGCTCAAATTTTCTATGTAACATAAGTACATGTGTACATACCAAAAAATATAAAAATTAAAAAATTCATTTTAAAAATCTTAACAAAATTTGGCTTGTGACCCTGTACTATAGTACAGGGACTTTGGTCTAATTTTGGAGCAGCTTTAAAAATTCATAAAAAATGCATATTTGATCGGAATCAGCTCAAACTTCTAAGCAACATAAGTACATGTATATGTGCCAAGAAAAACATAACAATGGAAACATATTTTTAAATAATTTTAACAAAATTTGGCCTATGGGACTTTGGTCTGATTTTGGAACAGTTTTAAAATTTCATAAAAATCTAATTATGATTGGAATTAGCTCAAACTTTCTACACAACATAAGTACATGTACCAGGAGAAAATAAAAATTGTAAATTCTTTTACTCTTAATTTGAATATCCCTTACTATAGATTGAACACCTTTAAAATTCATAAGAAATCCACAATGATGAGCCATAGCTACTATGCCATAATCTTAAGAAAATTAAGACAATCATGATAATTATGTGACTTCCTTATTTTCAGAAATGTCAAAGAAGAGTTTAGGGAAACTGCATCAACGATCATGACATTCTTTTTGAGTTTTGGTCTGCTATCAGGAGCAGCAATATCATTCTTTTACAGTATCTGATAAAAATATAAACTCGTAATGAGAGCAATAGTTGCTTTTATCTTTTCTATGCTCTGTATTTTTATTTTGTATGGAAAATAAAATATACTTTAAAAAATATTTTTGTGTCTAGTAAAACATTTGAAGTTTTTTACAAATTATTTAAAGCTCTATAACTACAGGTGTATAATATAATTTTTGTATTAGCAGTAACAGACTTGAGGGAATTAGAATAGCAAAGAGACAGTTATAGCAAAAATAGATGTAGCAGTACTAAAATTTGGTAGCATAGCATATAGTTTTATTAGTTTACAACTTTTCCTTTTCTTCTGTTTGTGGTGAGTCAACATAGTCGTAAAGATCACCTTGTTCTTCCATAAATTTGGTTACACTCTCATTATTGTATATTGGATTTGATGTATTATACGTAGATCTCTCTTGATCTTCTTGATTGACATTATATTGTCCATTTTTTTTCTTCTTAATTACAATTAAAACAATTGCAATGATAACAAAAGCCATCACAGCAATGATGATGATAACTATAAACAATTTTTTTACACAATAGACCATACTATCAAGTTCATATTGCTTACTTATTAATAGTACACCACCAATTGTGCCATAGAGAAAGCCACTGCTAGACCCAACATTTTCTGCACTAGTCTAAATTTGACAACAAAGATTAGAAGTCAAGGAATGGAGCTATTGATATAGTATAGTTAAACAACTTACAGCTTCAATGTTAGTTGGCAAGGCTAGGTCTATATATACAGATTAAATTACATCATACAACATAATTTTCTTTTACCTTCACAAATTGATCCATTTCTTAAATACTTTCCAGGACCACATGCTTAATAATAATAAAATAATAATAATAATAATCAATTTTAGCTTTGAAAACTAACCCAAACATGTATGACTGTCATTGCTCAAGTAATATCCATCTTTACAGGTACAATGGTAACTTCCTGGAGTATTGACACAACCATGACTGCATCTGTTATCAACCAATAAGCATTCGTTGATATCTGTTCAAAGTTAAAGAGGTGATCACTATAATTTCACTTTTTACCTGAACAAAAGGCTTCATTGGTTAAAGTAAAGCCTACCAAGCATGAACACTGGAAGCTGCCTGCAGTATTATTGCAAATCTGTTCACACCCTCCTTTTTTATTAGCACATTCATCAATATCTGTATATCAGTAAATACACAAGACAATGCAAATTTTAAACTTACCAGTGCAGCTTCTTAAATTGCTTGTAAACTGAAATCCTTCTCTACATTGACACTGATAGCTTCCCATTGTATTGATACAGTCCTGTGCACATCCACCATTATTAGTATCACACTCATTGATATCTATACAGAAGTAACAAAATATATATCGTAATTTTATAAATTAAAGTGATTTACCAGTGCAGTTGTGATCATTAGTATTGAGAGAGTATCCATTAAGACAGGAACAATAATAACTACCATCAGTATTATGACATGTTTGTTCACATCCTCCATTATTATTAAGAGTACACTCATCAATATCAGTACAAGTGTGATTATCATTAGTGAGTTGATAACCATTATCACAAGTACATCTATAACTACCAATAGTGTTAGTACATAACTGAGAACAACCTGATGTTCCTTCACTGCACTCATTAATATCTGATGTGTATATAATAAGACTATAAATTGTATAGTTGATGTTAGGTTTATACCTATACAAAACTTCTCATTGTATAATTTATATCCATTGTTGCAAGAACAATTAAAGAAAGGTACTTGATTAGTACATGTTTGCTCACATCCACCATTGTTTGTAGCACACTCATTAATATCTGATAATAATAGTGAGAATCATTATCAATAGAAATAATCTCAGTTACCAACACAAAGGGTGTCTGACATTAAGTAGTATCCATCGGTACAAGAGCATTCAAAACTTCCAATAGTGTTAGTACAGTTTTGATCACACCCTCCATTATTGTTAGCAATACACTCATCAATATCTTATAAATGAGAAATAATAATTCTACTCAAATTATTAGTATTGATATACCTGTGCAGTTTATTCCATTGTTATTAGTCTCATATCCTTCTCTACACTGACACTGATAGCTTCCTACTGTATTGATACAGTCCTGTGCACATCCACCATCATTAGTATCACACTCATTGATATCTGTGGGATGATGTATAATGAGTATTGCTATATAGGTATGCTTACCAGAACAATTATGTCCATCAGTGTCCAGACTATATCCTGTGTTACAAGAACAAGTATAAGAGCTGAGGGTATTAGTGCAGATTTGGCTACAGTCCCCATTATTCAAAATACATTCATTAGTATCTAAAATTATAATTTATTATATCAAATATTAAAACTGCTGATTATCATACCTGTACAGTTGTGACCATTAGCATCAATGGAGTATCCATTAAGACAAGAACAATAATAACTACCATTAGTATTATGACATGTTTGTTCACATCCTCCATTATTATTAAGAGTACACTCATCAATATCAGTACAAGTGTGATTATCATTAGTGAGTTGATAACCATTATCACAAGTACATGTATAACTACCAATAG